CGCGCAATTAGTACGAAATTCAAGAACGGCATCGAAAACACGTCGCTCACAAAATAATTTATTCGCTTATCAAATCGCGTAAATTTACTGAGTCATTAAAAAACCCCTCCTAAGATCATACAAACGCGTGTCCTCGTATGGCCCGTATTTCGGCCACCCACAGGAACCTCTCTGTAGAATCTCCAATAGGTGTTGGCTTCTCAGTTGAGGAAAAGTGAGGAGTCGCAGTCTTAAATTCCACTTTGATACTTGGCGTAACAATTTTTCTTCAATAGCGGAGCGAAAACGCCCATTTTCGCTCTCGGTGCACAATATACTATTAATCGAACAATGATCATTGATGACTGTTTTAACGTCAAAGTAGAAGTGACGAGCGACGTTACGTGTTATATTCCTCAGACGAGCAGTCATTTACTGCAGAAATTATTAGTAGATACTTAGTCCTGCAGAGCAATCCTTTTATCCAATTGCGGTTTCATATGCGAATTTATTTTCGCCCGAGTCTAGAGGAAGTCTCGTTGATTTTAGATTCTAGATTACTAGACGTCCGCTAAATTTGGTCGAACTAACTGAATTTCCTCTCAAGTTGATCAAATTATCAGTAGAGAATCTTTTAACGAATAAAATAAGCTATAGATAGTACATTTAAATCGTACAAGTGATTTGGATTTCTTTCAGAAAATCGTAAGTACAAATAGTGAATGTCTGTTAGCCAATCGGTGCTCTTACCCTCTTTTCACGTAAGCACGCGATTGGCTGATATCTTTTCGCTTATTGTACTTTTACTGAACTATTATAATTACTATTTTTGAAAGTTCATAATCACACTGCAGTTAATCTTTTGAACAGTCTGCACGCATTACACACACGAGGATTCTCTAACATGTGTTCTCGTCCATATGAAATATCGGAAAGTGTTCGGATAACCTTCGTTTAACGTCTCAGCGCAAAGCACGTGTATTTCAGGTGACGTTGTGTATGAGACGTCGACAGCACTTTGACGCTTGGCTGCGTGCAATGTCTAGTGGGCAACCGGGGCTGTTTCAACCGCCTCGATGCCGTCGAGAAACAAAAGCAAGGGGAATTTTGACATTAGACTGATTTCATATAGCATAGCCTCATGTTGGCAGCCTCAGGTTGCTTGACCATCATCCCCATCACCAACCTCGGTGGAACGTCAATGCTAGCCTCTGATTCGTTACACCTAATATAAAATCATTAAAAAATTAAATAAAATCTCGTAGACCGACGAAACACGAATAGGCCAGAATCATTGACAGTATCTGCTAGTAATGGCTGTAAAATTTATTCTGAATCACCCTATATATATATTGTGACGTGATTTTTGGAATCACGGTCCCAAGGCGGCTTCGGTTACCGATACAGATAACGTTCTCGATTTCTGGTTCCCTTCGGGTCGCCACCCGGCTCAGAAGCTACGCTCTCCAGTTGATTCGTATAGTTATGTCAACGCTCTCGTGAGATGTCGTTATTGTTTAGTTGAGGTCGAGGTACTCGAATCTGCCGTGGGGAGATAGTCTGGACGTACCGAGTTGTCCGGCAGAGGAAAGCATCCGACGGAGACGTCACCACGGACCGCCAGAAGCCCGGGTGAAATACCGGCTCCCCGCTGGAGATGGGCAAAGGGCTGTAGAGCGGGCGGAGATAGTTGTAATACGGTTAAGGGCAGGAGAGGAACCTCCTGCCTGAGTTAAGGACGTGGTGCCCAGCTGTCGCCCGATGCCCTGGGGAAGCGGCCGTGGAGGATCTCCAGAAGTTACGTACCGATTCGTTAAGAAACGCTCTCGACTTAGTTTAAAGGAACGACTCGAAGGAGATAGAAGAGTTATCGGTTATAAGGCTCTCGACCAATCAGAATGATTAGTTCTCGGATTTGGCTATTATCAAAGCAGTCTGTCTCGGGGCACCGACCGAGGTGTCACCGGCTGGCTCGCGCTCTCGTGCTATCTGTTGATAGTTTTTCTTGCCGTGTTTCGTTACGGTATAGCAAGTTCTCGATTCATATAGTTCTCGCGTTGTTCTCCCGATATCCAGGCAATTCTATGAATTCCTGTGAGTGTTCCGGAGGTGTAGTGCTGTGCCTTAGTGCAGTGCTCACCAGAGTGTCCTTTGAATACTGTTCTCGGCCTCCATGGATTAGCTGCACCAGCTCCGGTGAGGACTCCCAGTTTATTAATTGGTGAAGGGATCTCGATAGATAGTTAAAATTTGTTCTGATACGTTCTCGATTCGTCGCTCTCTGTCTCTCGCACTATTTGCCGGACTCTTACTCCGTCATTCTCGATGCAAACATCGAGTCGATTTCGAAGTAATTCCCAAACCGACTGCAGAGTTGATTGTGTAATCGACTCGCATGCTCTTCTTATTCTGGCCTGAAGGTCATCTACATTTAATGGCTGGGTTTTGTAGACCTCATTTTTTATGTATCCCCAGAAATAAAAATCTGGAGGATTCAGATCAGGAGGTCTTGTTGGCCATGGGAATACGCTACTTCTCCCAATTCACCGCTCCTATAATGCCGAACGCTACTATTATTTAATAAAATGTAAATTACGGTCAACAGTACTATTGCCACTGATACACCCATGTATTGTAATAGACTATCGGTTGTGATCAAATATTACTTTCCCACCCCCAACTGTTTGATCGTTTGTCTGATTGACCGAATTGGCATGTCTTTACAGCAACTAACAAGGAACATCACTTTAGCGTTCCCCTCCGATTTTGATGAAGCTCAACTATGTTGTAGCGCTTGAAAATCTAAGAGATACGTGTTTTTTTATTGGCGGAAAAACGGTTTTAGGAGGTGAAATTACCCTAAAAGTTCGGCATGTCGAGGGGTGATAACGCAGTTTCAGATCGACCGTTTTCAATGAAAGAAAAACTAAAATGTTTCTCATCACGTGTAATGTAAAATGCACCTAGACATTAAAAAAAATTATCTCTTGTGGGGGTGAATCACCCCTCGATTATTCTTTTTTTCACCCTATTTAAGAAACTTACGAATGGAATTTAATGAAATACGTACCATTTAAAAGAGGAAGTAAAATTACAGTTTACATGTTTTTGCTTTTTTGAGGGAAAACATGTTTAAGGGGGTAAACTACCCCCTGCATACCGATGTATGAATTCCCATATAGGATCACTTATCGCGAATTAGAAAAATAAAACGTGCGATTTTCATTGAAGACTATAATTATATATCTGTGAATTGGCATCGGTTTAGTGATTTTTATATTTGAATGACGTAAGTATTTAAAAGAAGGAAAAAAAAGATGCTAAAAGTGAGGCTCGAACCAGCAACGCTGCGATCACTAGGCTCGAGTGGTACCCGGTAAGCTACGCAGTCTGTTTCAATATTGTGTAATACATTTGGGTGACTAAAGATAGCTAAAGTATTTGGTCACTTAGTCAAAAAGAATAATCGAGAAGTGGTTCACCCCCCACAAGAGACAATTTTTTTTAATGTCTAGGTGCACTTTACATTACTCGTGATGAGAAACATTTTAGTGTTTATTTCATTGAAATCTGTTGATCCCTTCTAGGTGAAACTGCATTATCACCTCTCGACATGCCGAACTTTGGGGGTTAATTTCACCCCCGAAGACCATTGTTACTCCTATAAAAAAAATGTGTCTCTTAGATTTTCAAGCGAAACAACATAGTTGAGATTCATCAAAATCAGAGGGGGACACTAAAGTGATCTTCCTTGTAAGTCCCACCCATTTTTGACGTTTGATAAGACTCACCCTGTATATAAATACATTATTTATATGCATGGAAATTATCGTAGGTGCAAATAGAAACTCACCTATAGGAATTCTAAAAGCGACGCAGATCTCGCCTATAGTGTACATTTCAATATTTGCTTCACGCTAATTATCAATTAGAGATGAATGTCCACCTAGTTAATTTGATGAAATTCAAACTATTTTACTGTTGTAAGTTAAATGGACCATTAACGTAATTGATTTCTATTTGAGAGACAAGGCTATTCGTAAAGCATGAATCGTATCGGCGCAGATAGCATCAATTAAAAAAAATATAAAATTTCTCTAATGAAATTATATCGAATGAACTATAGATTTTAAGCGTTAATTGTAATTTTAGACGTATGAATCCGTAAAGTTTCGATCAGGTTTTACGTAACTCATACTCATTTAATCATTAAGATTATCTTGTCGGATCGTGAGATAATTAATCACGCATGACCTCTCATACAGGAAACGCGGAAACTAACCTCAGAGTTTAATATCTAGCAAAATATGAAAACTCGTCAGCCGTTATAATTGATGGACCTCGTTGCCGTTACAATCATGCTGAGTACGCAGTCAGCCATTTTGCCTGAGTAATGCACCTATTTTTTTTTAAATATGCCATTTCACATTCTCCTATTCAAACGCTGTAATTTACGAAGCAGGTTGTTATTAACATGTTGCTAACTAGTCGTTGCATACTGCGCTTGGATCATCCAGGAATTAATTTCACGACAGGTGTTTAGCCACGGCGGAATAAACAGCGTGTCTGCTATAACGTGAAATGCTTTACGCGAAATAAGGACTCTTTCCCGCTTTCCTCTGTTAGTAATTATTCAAAATATCCATCGATTATATTGTGGCTTACAATCCTGATGGACGAATTGTCTGAAGTAAATGATGAAAGTTCCGATAGCCATGCCTGGTCATGTAAGTAATGGCGTTGTAATAGTGGCGCAAATATTTGAATATAAATTAATGTTATTATTGCTGAAATTACAAAATCGATTAGTTATTATTTTCGTGCCATTTATCAATACCATTGCTGAGGATTATAGATTTTGATTGTCGGTTAGTATACGTTTTAATCGAATGTAACTAAATCAAAACTTTTCTTATTATCTTACTCGTAATCCTGGTAATACTGTTATTGTAGTTTAAATGCCAGTCAGCCGTAGGCATACAAGATAGAAAATAAACCGGAAATTTAAATCTCACGTTTAGGTCAGAATCCAGCCTTTTCGATTCGCCGGACAGACTCTCACCTAGTACGAGGCAGAGAAGAATCATAGCTGAACATCAGAGACAACTTCATCGTGAAATGGAGGAAATGCAAGACACGCTTACACGTGGTTTTCGGTCGAGGGACCTTTTACCGTCCTGCGATGTATCATCATTGGCCTCTTGGTCGTCATCCCTCGGATCCATTGGCAGAAATAAGCTCAGGAGAAATCGGATGCCTGCTTGGGAATATGTTCGAGGTAATTAATATTAACTAAATAATATGAAAATATTGAAGGCCCTAGAGATATTAATTAATGGATAGACCTTTACCACTGTTTAGCAATGATATTACAACATGCGAGGTTTTTTGAATATATTGTTGTATAATTTTAATACTATCTCTTTGTTGTTAATGACAATTATAATGATGGTTAAATAAACATATTCAATAGTCCATATACATACAGGGTGTTCCGAAATTAACTGATCAACGGGGTATGGCGGTGTTCGGGAGGCATCACTGATCACGAAAATGACCTTCCTATTGTCTGGAAAGTCATAGTTTTTAAATGGGAGCAGGTCAAAGTTGACCAATCAGAGGGAGGCGTCACGAGAAACGTAGACACCTACAAACGCTGAGTTTTCTTCCTTCGCTTTTGTTTCTCGGTGGCTTCGGGCAGGATGACGTCAGCCGAAGCATGTCTATTGGCTGTCTATCTATATCTATACTCGCTGAGAATAGAAGTTCTCAGTTGAACAGTCAAGCACTAATTGAAAACTGCAATGTCCTATGATAATGCCATTTGACTTACACAGATATCTCTGTGACGTCTTACGTAGGTTATCTTGATCTCGCTTTTCTTCCATTGATCTTCAGCGATTCGTGCTACATTCCGTTGTCGAATCGCAATAAAATTCTAATGCAATTGACGAATTTTCATAATTTATAAAGCATATTCCTTAAGAGTTATTTTTCCGTTTAAGATATAATACCGATCTTTCGTAGTAGGTAAATCCGAAATCTGTCACCTACAAATATTACGCAACTTGGCGTGGACAAATGTATTTTCAGATTTCTTTTTCATGTCCATTCCGTTTCCTGGATGCTCGTGTACTTGTTGCGGCCAATTTTCATGGATTTCTCTTTCTGATTAATTCAAACTAAAAGTTGAATAAATAATCCTTGGCATATTCCAGTATCCCGATCATATGCCGGAATGTATGATAAAAATTGTTAGATATGATATGAATTACTGGTATATCACTTTACACGATCCATATGAGATTCTTTTTTTTTATTAGGACTACTATTATAACGAAGGATGAACGTCGGTATGCAGGGTGGATCGAAAATTTCTCTGAAAAGGATCTTTTCCGTATAATTCATATAGCTTGTGGTCAAAATTGATCTGAGTATGATGTCATTTCTGCAATAGGGAAATAGAGCATTGCAGACCATTCATAGATCATCGATTCAAGTCATAATCACTGTACGCGAAAGATCAATACAGATCAATTTTGGATCCATCCAGCAAACTGAATTTATCCGTCGTAAACCTGAGCGTAATCTACCGTGAAACGCGTAATTAAAAACTGAATAGCTTTACCACATCTAAAATGTTTTACTGTATCCAACAACTTTTACTGTAAACGTTCAGTAATAATGTTAGAATTATTATTTCAATTCTCAGATTCCTCGTCGAGGTCCATTCCTTTTCCTGACTATCAGCGTACGTTGCCATCATATTCCCCAGACTCTTCTTCTCTTGAACACTCCTTCCTCAAGAAATGGGTATTCCGTCGGTGCATTCATAATACCCTGCACCCATTGATAATAAAATATCTTATTGTTTTGTTTATATTTGAAATAAATATTGGTAAATAATATTTCTTGACACTTTATTGCAAATATCTTTAGTTTTGCAATAATAACATCAATTGTAAAATCAAGCTAGAGAAGCATAAAAGGTATTTGATATTGACATAGTATGGGGTGTAAGAGAGAATAAATACATGTAACGCTTTTATCGCCCACGCCAAGTTGCGCAATATTTGTAGGTGACAGATTTCGGATTTACCTACTACGAAAGATCTGGATTATATCTTAAACGGAAAAATAACTCTTAAGGAATATGCTTTATAAATTATGAAAATTCGTCAATTGCATTAGAATTTTATTGCGATTCGACAACGGAATGTAGCACGAATCGCTGAAGATCAATGGAAGAAAAGCGAGATCAAGATAACCTACGTAAGACGTCACAGATATATCTGTGTAAGTCAAATGGCATTATCATAGGACATTGCAGTTTTCAGTTAGTGCTTGACTGTTCAACTAAGAACTTCTATTCTCAGCGAGTATAGATATAGATAGACAGCCAATAGACATGCTTCGGCTGATGTCATACTGCCCGAAGCCACCGAGAAACAAAAGCCAAGGAAGAAAACTCAACGTTCGTAGGTGTCCACGTTTCTCGTGACGCCTCGCTCTGATTGGTCAACTTTGACCTGCTCCCAGTTAAAAACTATGACCTTCCGGACATTAGGAAGGTCATTTTCGTGATCAGTAATGCCTTCCGAACACCGCCATACCCCGTTGGTCAGGTAATTTCGGAACACCCTGTATACACATATGTATAGGAAGATGTTTTGTAAAGTCAATAATTTTTTTTATAAATTCAGTAACTTGTTTACTTTGAAGGTCCATCACCCATGTGGGATACTGTCAGTAGCGATGGCAGCTTCACAAAATGTAAATCCGAGGAGATGATCAGCCGCGAAGATTCACCAAAATGGAACGTCGTGAATAATCGACGAGCAAAGGACGATACAGATTTTCGTTTACCTACTTGGGATCATTTGGAAGCGACGCTCAATCAAAAGTTGTCACGTTTTGAAAATTTCGAGCCTGATTCCCTAGAGACGAATCGCGACGTGGGAATTGATTATTTAATGACGACAAACGCTAGGAAAGAGATGTCCCAGGAAATGAGGGCTGTCGAGAAATGGAGTACGCCTGTACTGAAACAGGATCAAGATATGTCCTTAAGATTGAGTCTGCGAAAGAATTGAACTTGAAATAAGGAATGGTGGAAAACTTTCTTAATATATATTCCTTTTTTAATGTTGTGAAAATAAATCTTAGCGTTCACAATAGCAAGCTAATGTTTAAAAAAAAAAAACTACTACCTTGGGACATCACAGCGTTGGAGTTCTTATCTAATCTAACCTAACAAAAATTTTCTAACCCCATCACAAATACTGGATGCTTGACATTGAAAAACAGTCCTCAAAATAGCGATTTCGTAAATAAAATCGTCCCCAAAGTATCCCCTAGCAAAAAATATAAATTGATGCACATATGCGGTAAATATTTGTAACCTATATATTAAATATATACATATAACATGTAAACACATATATTCCATGCATATGTAACATATTTATTTTCATGACACCTGCATCGAAACTTCTAGTTTTAGTGTCTCTACAACCAGATGAAACAAGTTAACTTCAGGCCAATGCCGCGGACAACTATTAGCGGGTGCGTAAATTGTGAATGCTTTAAATCAGCGGGAGAAATATGCTTGTATCTGTAAGTCAAATTCAATGTTTAATTCAGCCCTATTACTCTCTTATTTGTTTGTTGGTGCGTGACGTATGAAATATTTCGTATAATTTTGAATTGGCCTAGTGCCCAATAATTGGCCTATGACCCTGGAGTTCCTGGCCGGTTGCTGTGTTATTTTATTAGAAAAGGGACGTAAACGCATCCCGAAGACGAGAAACGGAAGATATAATTATGGGACTTTTTTTGACGTCAAAATAACGTCACAATAAGTATACTATACATAATATACAATAGATATTATACATCTGTATTATTATGCCCATGACAGAATTCACGCTATTGTTAATCTCCAGATGCAAAGTCAGCATTAGGCGAATGCTGATCCTATGCATAAGGCGTTAAGATAAGAGCCATGAGAGGCACCTTGTGAGCCACAGCGGTCACTCGCAAAGTTCCTAGCGAGGAGTGAAGTCCTGGAGCGTATTCCATAGTCGTGAATAATTAGTATCATTGTGGCTTCTACTATTACATTTGCGTTACCTTCGTATTTACATCATACCAATTTCAATAAACTATAATCGTTCTTTATATAATTCCAAATCGATGTAATTATTTAATCTCGACCCTAAAGAACTCATAACTGCATAACAGTATATATTTATGTATTATGGCGTTATTTCCCGTAACAAGACTGAAATCGATTAATTTTCGTATTTATCATGCGGAACATATTGCCGTTGCTTAATATTGCGTTACGTAAATTACCGGCCAAGAACTCCCATCACAATTTATGGAATTATCGAACATTAAGTTAATTTTTATTGTACAACCATTTCATGCGTTACGAATTCGGCTACAACACCTAACATCTTCACGTCGCTGGATGAGAAACATTACGAGGATATAGCTGGGATAGTGGAGGACGATTTAAAATCAATAGACGCCTCCACCTCCGAGTTGAGTAGGGGTTCGGCATTGAGAAGGACATCGCCATAGACTATGTCGTTCTTAACGTTACTGTCGGCACCGATGCGAGAGATGACCATCAGCGGTACCGAAGAGGATGGGGAACAGGAACTACCTCTGCGCGAGGACTCATGAACCTTCGTCACCTAGCCATCCCAACCTGGTCCGGACGAAGATCACCACTAGAGCAATCTGGACATCCCGAAGCTATGGCAGCGGGTTTGTGATAATTTCGAAGACCCCGGGTCAACCGGGCTCGGAACGGGATTTTTTTGTTTAGGTTTTGACCTTCCTTCCGCGTATTGCATATTGTCTAGCACAGAGAGGCTCCGGAAATTAATTAGCAAGTTTATTGCATTCTTCTCGTGAGGAGTTATTGGTGATATATCGCTTTGAAATGAATTTCGTAAAGTTTTTAATTTAAGTCCACCAGCATGCTAGTGAATAATTCTGTTGCGACGGTGATTGGCCGAAAAGATGATTGGTCGCTATTTATTTCCCGTCGATTGTCTTGACCGATTTCAATAAATAGTTGTCTCGCACGTGATATCAAAATGTAATGCTTAGGTAAGCACTTTTGTCTAAAAGGGCAAAATCTTTTATATCTTGGCTTCCGTCATGTTCAGATCTATTCCGTTTTGTTCCTGACGGTCTCGGTGTAGGAGATAGATTGGCGTTTCGCCAGCCAGGAAAAGATTCCGTGCGTTCTGTTGATAATTTCTTTATTCTCGAAATGTATTATCGAATTAGCATCATACCTCAGTGATCCTCCAGAACGTTAAACGAATCCGTGTTTTACGCGTCTCGTGAGTTCACATATTGTCTTTTCGTTAGTTTAAGTCCTATATTTTCTGTTTTCGCGTTCTTTCGTATTTTGCATATCTCTTGCAGTCACTTTCTTTCCTTTTTTCTGATTTATCGATGTACTCCGGATAATTTAACTCGCGGCAAACCACTATCATTGTCTGATGTTGTTAGCGTTTCGGCATTGTATGATTTTTCTATTGAGTTTCTCGCGTGCGCATCGTAAAGTTGTACAGAAAGTAATTTCGTATAAGATCTAACAAATATCTGATTCTCCCGATTCAGATCTTGAGAGATTCGTGGAAATAAGGATAAAAAAGCGGTATGAATTCAGAAGGAAGAAAATTACGAGAAACGAGAAAGGAAAGTGAAGAAAAAGAAAAAAAAATGTGTCGGTAATCCAAGGGTGCTCCATTTTTCAGATGTTCACGATTAAGAGATTTTAAGTATTTTTAAGATTAAAAATTGTTGATTGTTTTGGCTCATTTTTCTTGTCTCTTCCTTTTTCCACACCTTCATATTCTTCTTTTTCTATTTATAAAACTCTTGGTGTTTTCGTATTTACCGAGATCAATTTCTATGGATGAATGGACGGATGTATGGATACGCATTTCCATTTATATGCATGCCTTTTGCAACTACATATTCATACGCGTGGGATATGTATACGCATACGCATATGCACTTCTGGCCCTTCTCACCTAGCTATTGCTGCACATAAAAAAACATTATTTTTCCAACTACTATATTTCGATGTTTTCGCGTTTTAATACTGCGGCCATCATAAATTCATGGAAAAAATTACATTGGCCAGCTGAACTGGGTTTACTTTTAATGTAGAGCAATCAGGGTAATATCCAAAAGGGGAACAATGAAAAATTCGAATAATTGAAAAAATTCCCAAAAAATATATTGCTGAAAAAAAAGTGAAAATATTAATAAGGAATATTTGACTAATTGCCGCTACTTACAGTTACTTTCACGCATACGTATATCCATATTGCTCAATGTGAAACGATCTGCTCCACATTTTAATTCCAGCGGGAGTTGACTTATTCATAGAAATTAAAAGAAAACGTACTAAAAAAATCATCGAAGTTCAGTTGACTTTTTTGATCATTAATCTTCCTGGATATCCTCCAATGAACGGCGGCTTAATTTTTGTTATTTCTGACTTTTCCACCATCGTTTCACAAAAAAAATCGTTAAAAACTATCAGAGAGACGTTTAACTGCCTATGACTTTATTATATTTATTCGTTATATCTCACACCTTCTTTAGTACATTTTCATATAATATTTTGACTCTCGTATTTGCATGAATCTCATGTGGAATATCTTGCACGTACCATATTGTATCGACTATTCGAGGCACGAACGAAATAAAACGCAGGAAACCCGTGAATGGATTCCTTTGGTTGCTGTTCGAATTATTGTAAGAAAAGAAAAGGAAAAGAAAAATAGAATTGTAAAGGTCATTCTACAATGCAATATAATAAGAAATAAGGAATAAGAAATAAGCAATAAGATCTTCATTTGATATTTACGTAATTCCATTGGGTACTCTAATCAAGAAGGAGAAAGTCGTTTTTAAAACCGAGCGTTTACTAAGTCTCTACGATTTTTATGACGTCTTGGACATAGCAATGATACGGAAGCGGTTGCTAGAGTCTTTAAGGACTTCACGGAGCACGAAACGTGATGAGTAATTGTCATTACCTGTCATCTGTCATTATCTGTCAATATATAAATATAAAAAAAAAATGTGTATGCGCTTATTCATACAGATAAGTAAATCATTACTTCATTTTTAAAGTCACGATGACTTTTATCGTAGAGAAATTTCATTTCTCTAACGATATTGATAATGACCTCGTCTATAGAGCTGGTAATGACAGGTGACAGGTAATGACATTTGACAATGACGTTTCGTGCTCCGTGAAGTCCTTAAAGACCCTAGCAACCGCTTCCGGATCGTTGCTATGTCCAAGACGTCATAAAAATCGTAGAGACTTAGTAAACGCTCGGTTTTAAAAACGACTTTCTCCTTCTTGATTAGAGTACCCAATGGAATTACGTAAATATCAAATGAAGACCTTATTGCTTATTTCTTATTCCTTATTTCTTATTATATTGCATTGTAGAATG